TTTCAGGACTAGAGTGGTGTGATCGGTAAAATAATGGTCCCCTCAAAGATGCCCACATTCTTGTCCTCGGAATCTGTGAATATGCCTTACTTACTAAAAGGGATTTTGCAGATGTGGTTAAGTTAAGGATCTGGAGATGAATCCAGGATTATGTGGGTGGGCCCATTGTAACCACAGTGGTTCTTGCCAATGGCAGGTCAGAGCTGGAGTTAGAGATACGATGAAGGAAACAGGTTGGACTGATGTGATTGCTGGCTTTCAAGATGGAAAAGGGCCACTCGCCGAGGAAGGAGGAAGCCTCTAGAGACTTGAAAAAGCAAAGAGCACATTCTCCCTTGGAGCATCCAGAAGGAACTCAGCTCAGATGACATCTTTATTTTAGCCAGTGAGACTTCCAAATTGTAAACGTGGTGATGAATTTGCGCTGTTCTAAGTTGCTAGCTATGTGGTAATTTGATGATAGTGGCTCTCCAATGCTGTTAGACCCATGGTACTACAATATCCCTTTATTGGTGGGTCTTACCCTTGCCCACATCTTTGTAAATAATCCCTTCATTAATTTTTTGTTTATCCCTCTGTGTGTGACATCTGACTGCAGCCAGGACTCTGTTAAATGCTTATACCTTTTTAATCAGCAAAGCCACTTTTAGAAATTTATTCTATGAAAATAGTGGGGGATATATAGAGTACCTGAGATATATGCACATATTGATTGTAGCATTATTTGTAACAACAAAAATAAAGCAAATTTTCAGAATAGAGACTAGTTAAAAGAATTATAATATAGCTATATGATACAGTAATAGAATGCTAGAAAATGTTACATATGTACGCATACACATGCATAATTGTGTGAAGGAATCAGGCTACAAAACATATCTATATTATATTTTTACATATACCTGTATCTGTGCACCTTTACTGATCTATCTATCTAATCTCTGGATCATCTGTTTAAATATATAGGAACAGAAAAATGAAAAAGGAGAAAAAGCCAAAGATGCTTTTAGTGGTTAACTCTTGCTAATGGATGAAGGATAATATTTTTTCTTTGTGTGTTTTCATATTTTTCAAATTTTCTATAAGGCTTTCATTAATAGCCACAAAGAAGGTTTTAAAACAGCAATGGTTCCTCCCCACACATGGTGGAATGCTTAGGATCACAGAGGGGATCTTTTCTGGTTTCACTGGCAGTTAGAACAATAATTTCTTCTACCTACAACTGTTTTGTGCAGCTTCGTTACAGTTATTTGCATTCTTGTCTGACACCTCTGTCATATTATGGGAATTTTGAAGCAGAGAATGCCCTGAAATTTATTTCTTACTGCACACACAGTGCCCTATGTGAGGTATGCAATGTGTATTTATTGAAAGCTTTATACTGAATTGAATTTATAGGTGCTAAATCAAAACTTCTTTGATGAGGGACTTATTTCCACACCCATAAAAAAATACAAGTAACAGAAAAAAGCCTATGAGGCAAATTTATATAGCAGGGAGATAGCAGATAAACAACCTGGTTTAAGATGCAAATGGATAGTGAATTATTTATATCATATCCTTGTCACAGAATTGTTCATTTAAAATTTGTTTACTAAGAGGATTGGATGAATGTAAGAACTTGGCCGAGGTAAACATTAGGATTAGAATATTCAAAAAGCACATCGAGTACTAGAAAAGGTGAAAGGAAAACAGCCTTGTTGTATGTTAGTCACCCTGGCAAGACTTCATGGGCCAGGCAGAATCTTTAATTAGTGAGTCTTCAGTGTGTTGAGCAGAAAACGGTTTTCTAGGAAGAAGGCACTGTTTTGGAGAAGACCCCAAGGATTAAAAATAGGACAAATGAGTCAAGAGATACAGCAGAGGTTAGAGCAGTCTGAACGTTCGATGGTAATCGATAATGTCACAAGGTAATAAACAGCAGAGGAGTGATAAAAGGAAGGTATCTCAGGAGGAGCTAAATCCTTTCATTCACATATGAGAGACTTAATCTCCCAAGATAAGCATGTTTGGAAAATCTGCAGATGTGGGTTGAAGTCTCTATCCCTGGTCCAGTGCCCCCCCGCCTTTTTTTTTAATTGAAAGAGTCCTCAGTAATGGTTAATGAGTCCTCATGTTCATTTCATGAAGGATTTTTTTGAACTTAGCTACAAAATAATGTATTTGACTTAGTTATATTGCAAAAAGTACTGTATTAATATGGAACTACATATTTATTGATAATGTTACACATTTAGTTAGCCATCCTATTAGGCATTTCTATTTTTAAGGGAAATCATCATGTTTACTTTTCAAAATATTATCTACATTAGTATCTTCATACATGTCAGCTGGAGTGATTTAAATGATACACTATTCCACTTGCAAACAGTTATTACCAATACTCAGTTCCAGAATTTTGTATGTCCGTGAATCTCCCAAGTATGGCATGATGCCGATAACGATGTTGATTTTACTGCATTCCCACAAAGTGGAAAATATAGCAATTAACTTCATAAATGATCATCATTCTTCATAAGCCAGCAGACTATCATCCTTGTGTCCATTTCTGACCCTTCATATCTGTGCTGAAGAAAATTACTTACAATCCAATCATTCTTTGGTATTAACTCAGTAACTCCTTACAATAAAACTATGGGTTAGGAACCATTATTATCCCCATTATTCAGATGAAGAAACTGAGGAAAAGTTGGATAATAAGCCATGACAGGGCCAAGGTTGAAATGTGTTTAGTAATGTGAAGTAAGAGCCTCTGCTTTTTCACTTTGTTGTACAAACAATAACAAGGGAAAATCTTTCTTTCTTATCCTAAATATAAAAAAAGTCACAACTGAATTTTTTAATTGGCCTTTGAATCTCTAACCTCAGACCAGGTAATAATAGAGCACTCCCACCACTTTTCTGATAGAGCCAAAAGAGTGAGCCTGTGGAGACCAGCCATAGGAAACTCTGGTTTTCTCTTGCTCTAAGCCCTGAGGGACAAAGGCCAGCTCTGGGTCTAGAATTTTTCAGATGATTGGAGATCCCTTCTTTCAGACAGAATTCTGGAAGCAGTGAGTAACATTGAATAGTAATTGTTCATTCTGTTGGAGAACAAAATAAATGTAAAATCTAGCAACTTATTTCTGTTGCTGTGTATTTTTAAATGTCTATCTTATTGTAATTAAAATAATCAAAAAGTGAAGTCAAGATCAAAGAAAGAAGGCATCTTCAAGGTTGGCAGATCCTAAGGACTCTAACAGGAAGGTCATGTGTTCCAGAATTTTACTTCCAAATCCTGAGACACTGAGGGGCAGCAGAAAGAGCAATGCTTGAATGGCTCTCCTGGGTTTGCCATTAACTGGCTCTGTGACCTCTGGCAATTCAATGAGCATTAAAAATATATAGCAGCACTATGGGTCTAGGTCATTCTCCTTTTTTTTCTATACGTTTAACAAAAATCCGTAGTGACAGGGCATACAGATAGCAATTTTTGACATAATCCCCAATGACCGCATCATTTGGTTAAATTTAATGTGACCTTCGTCACAGACAAAAACTGTTGCTACTAGTCAGAATAATATTGAGACTAAAAAAAGGGATGAAGGCCACCCATGAATATGTACTTAGCTAAACTTAAAGGCATCGAGTTAGAAGACAAGACCTAAGTGAAAACTATTTTTTTTTTAACGTGGCTGGAAGGAGAGAAATTGATGTTTAAATTGGATGCAGGAAGCCATGAGGGGCCAAGAGGATGACAGCTAGAGGAAGGTTAGGGCAGCTGTGCTCGTGAAGGATTATGCCAACTCTGTTCTTCTGAGGATTTCAAAGGACTTCAAGAAAACACAAACCATCTCTGGAGCATGGCTCCCTGTATTTTTAATTTTGGTGGGTACAGAGACGGGCTCTTTGGCCTTGAAAATAATCTAATGTGTGAGTTTTTTTCAACAAGAGCCTTGGGTTTTCAGCCTGTAGTTTAAAGGAAGGATTGTAATTCAAGCACTCTTTAAAAATGAAACATCATGCTACAGAGTCACACTTAGGACATCTGTGAACAGCACTGGGTTCTTTTAGAGAGCTGATCTGACGAGAGCGGGCGGGGCACGGCAGCAGAGCACTGCACACACTGCAAGGGAGGTGGGGCACTTTGGCCGTTTGTTGCGTGTTACCACGTGGAGTGGTATTGCTCTACCTAATTTACAGTTGGGAAAATGGAGCCTTATGAAGGCTGCACTGACAGTCGTCAAGCAACTGGTCAGTGGGAGAGTTGGCACCCCCGTTATGTCTGACATCAGTGTCCATATTCTTGACCACACCCCAAGGGTCGAGGTCCAGGAGTCTTGCGCTCTACCTACTTCACGCCATTTTTGTCTTCTCTGTCTACGCCACACCCCAAATACATCTCGCAGTTTCTGTGAAGTGAGGAGCATGATCATGCAGAACAGGATTACACTGCTCACAAATGAAGTTCACGTAAGAGGAAGACAGTGCTGGGGAATGAGACAGGGAAGAGGGGTCACCATCTTTCAGACAAGTAAGTCCAACCAGACCACTGACATGACACTATGGACTAGAATGCAGCATTTTTATTGTAAAAGTCCACATATTAGGCAATTCCCTTTGTGAAAAGGTTTTCAAATACATAGACAAGGAGCAGCTGATAATTAAGAATTAGATTATATATAATGTATATTTATATTGCCAATACTATGCACACATTGGAAAGCTAGTTTTGAGTGTCCCCATTACAGAATACATTTCAAGCTGACAATAATGTTTCTTGTCATTGAAAATTTGCCAACAACTCTCCCAAAGAGTCAACATGTAATATGTTAACAGTTCAAAAACAAGAAAATAATTAATTCCATTTACACGTGAGGTTATATACTAGAGCACAGATACAGAAAAGGTTTGTAAAACTGGCAGCTAAGTGCGTTTCAGAATTCATCCAGATGACTTAATGGTGAGTTTACATGATTTTATGTGAACGATGCCACTTTCTCTTCTTTTTTACGTTTTAGATTATCTATAGCTATGACTGAATTCTGACTTAGAGTAATGACGGCCAAAAGGAAGAACCGACAAAAGGTGCTATTGTAGGAAAAATAAGAATTCATGAGGAGTCCGTGAAAACGGAGCGCAACTCATCATGTATGAAGTCTGGGACGACCACCCCATGGATTACAGTATTGTTGAATGAGGACACAGTCATAAGCTTAACCTCCATGTAAGTCTTTCATTTCTTAAAATGTAAACTTCAGTACATGTTTCTTTTCTCAGAGCACAGAGGACTACGTTTGGAACACCAGTCAGGGACGAATCCTGCTTACGCCTGTCGTGTGTCCTCAGGTGGCGTGGTGGATGGGTCAGAGAGCTGACTCATCTCCAAACCTGGAACAATAACACACAAACTCTAATTCTGCTCTAGGAGACTCGGTTCTGTACATAAACATAGGACTTAAATATTGTTTTAAAAGGAGCCTGGACCTTGCCTAAACTAAGTGTTTGATAATGAACAAAAATCGCCAAAGGTCTTTGGGTCCTTCTGTTTACTTCCACAAGATCAGAGAGCACTGGATAGTGCCTCTGTGAAAAGAGGAACCACTGGTTCCAGACCAGCTCAGACAGGGTCACCAGCGTGCATGAAGCCAATTCACCTCTCACCATATTTACTGAGCACCGACTATATGCCAAGCACTGTGCAAGGTGCTGAGGACCCAAAGAGGGAGTGACGAGGATTCTGCCCACAAGGCGCTCACAATCACTAGAAGCAGGTCTTGAGATGGAGAGTAAGTTCTCTTATGACCTATCACCCTAAAAGGAAGAAACAAGAGCAGCAAGCACACACAGTTACTTTAGACTCTATGAAATTGGGCGTATTTTAAGGTAGCAAATGTCAGTTATTCAGTCTCTGTTTCCCATAAAGTGTTTTGATATGTCAGACAAGGAAAAAAAAATAAGCCGTTTGAATCTTCATGCATGAGGGAGAAAGCAGAGAAAACTCCCCCTCCCATTCCAAACTCAAACCCTTATAATTACACTCATGATTCTTCTACAGCCCAGAGACACAGAGAAGACAATACTTTATTATGATGTTAACTTTATTCCATTTGTTTCGGCTCTAAAGAGATGCATGCATTAGACTTGAAGCATTCTATGTTATTGAAATATTTACATCATTGTACATGTGATGTGGAGGAAAACTTTCTTGCTATCTTGGGATGGAGATGTAATAGATTTCTAGTTTAGGCTCTTATATTTAAAGCAGGTTGTGACTTTTTTTCAAATGACGGACACATCCTAGTGTCATATCCTAGTAGGATCCAGTTTACTCCCACTTGACCCCAAATGAACATAGGCTATGGTTTTAGACTTTTTGCATCTAATTGTATTTTGAATTAAGTAAATGTAAATAGCCATGGCTTTTATTTATTTCCAATTGCTATAGCTGAGAAGAAGAAAATTCTTGTCTGGTTTCAGTGTTCTTGCTCTAATTTCACTTTGCCTTGCAGGTTTGAGACACAGCGAACATTATAGTTCAGATTACACGTACCACAGGAGAGTTGGGCGCAAACAATATGACATGAGTACAATCTACCAGGTCAGAACAGAGGAACAGATTCAGATCATTAGAAACCACGTGGGGAGGAGTGTGTAAGTGGACTTAGAAAGGACATCTTCTCTCCAGGAGCTGTAGTGACTAAGACCCTTATCAGTGACGCCCAGACCTCTTCACAGGTAAAGGTAGGAGACCCAGTAAACCAGATTGAACAGGCAGAAGGCGGTGGGGAAGAAGATGCGTGCGTAGGAGTCCATTTTGGCGATCCGGATGTGTATCCTCCCGTGTCTCCAGGCTCCTGTTCGGCAGTCTTCAAAACAGCAGAAAAAGCTAGCGCAGTCCTTGCCATCCAGACACTCGTACCCGTATTCCTCATCTCGCTCCTGCAGGTGCGTGGCATTGTTCATTTGAATGGTTGCCGATCGGGGGCGGATGTCAATGGTAGGGGCCTGCGATGAGGGCAGGGAGGGAGAGGGCTCAGAGTCAGTTACACCTGAGAAACCCGGGCGGTTTCGCCACAATGTCACCAATGTGAATGATGAATCTGAAAATGAGTACTCAGGAAATTGCTATGACATCATGATCTACAATGGTAAAATTGAACTCAGGATAGCACGGTTGCAGATTTTAAATTGTGAGCTTAAGCAGTGCAGCTGAAAAGAATACCACCAAGCTAACAGCTACAGCAAGAAGATTGAACACCAAAAGAACTCAAAGTTTAAAGGTTTAAACCAAACAACTACATGGAATCTTATTCTAGGAAATATTAGATGTGAGGTTGGTTACATGAAGGCATTTGATGGTGCTGCATGTGAGTAGAACAGAGAAAGAAAAATGCGTCAATTTTGAAATCAAATTTTGGGTCATGCTTATCTATAGGCAAACGGTAAACCCCATTATGCTGAACAACTGTATTAAGGGTCTTTAATAGAAAATGTTGAGATGTATATAAATAGAGAAGTTTCCTGAGTTTATAGCACAATGGTATGTATGGCTTATGTTTTAAAGGAGTATATTACTTTGTCTAACAGTCACCACCTAGAAGCTTCAGAATGTCAGCAGTATTTACCTACACGTGACTGAAAATTTAAAGGAAAACGACGCTACTACCTATCAAACTCTCTTTAGCACTTGAGAAGAAACTAGCACCAGTTAACTAAATGCTAATCTAATCTTTGCTGCTGGACCAATTATAAAATTGCTAGAAAACTTAATTTAACGTTAATTTGGATGTGTTAGTTTTAGGATAATATAAATATGAAATCCTAGTGTCTCTGAATCAGCTGAGAATTCAGCAGGGGACAGAAATCTCATTGAGTAGTGCATGACAGCGCCAGAGGTCTCTGGGTCCCCCTGCAAGGGAGGGAGGAGTGTTTTCAAGCATTTCAAAGACAGTATTATTTCTATAGAACTGACGGGTAGGGTTCAGGCCAACAGAGATGATTACATTTACTTACTGAAAAGCGACCCAGTTTTGAACTAGGATTCACAGAGTTACATTTAGGTATATGGTACCCCTGGTATGTGGTAGGCACAGCCAGTGAAAATGGCTTCCACGTTTCTCTGAGAAGAGAGGGTAAATTTTGACTCGGATGTTTAAAGAGGCCCTCTCTGCTAATGCCATCTCCTCGAGCTTAGAGCTCTACAGCCCCCTGTTAGGTCAAAACCTCTGAATTAACATAGGCTTTCTAAATCAACTCTAGAAACCTGCAGCTCTTTCCCCGTCTTAAACGTGTGCCCTCTAGTAGAATGCGTAGATGTCTGCTCATAAAAATAAATAAAATACACCATGTAAGCATCAATAGAGGAAGTCAGCAGTTGCATGCAGTGAATTTCCATTCCAAAAACATTATACCTTGAAGGAAAACATCCGAAGAAGCTTTGGGTTTGTAGACAGAAAAGAGAATCGCATTTTTTTTTAATTAAAAGAAGAAAAAGAAAAAAAGAGAAAAAAAAAGAGACAAAATAAGATAAATTAAAAATACATTTTGAAAACACAGCAAGTGAAATGAACTGAAATTATAAACACGGAAGGACAGTTCTGAGCTTCAAATAAAGTATATGCCCAAAGTAGGAAATTGAAATTTGGTGCTTGCTAGTGAAATCTTCAGTAAATTAGCTCACAATTATCTAACTGCAAAAGCCAGTGTTTTTCACTGTGAGGAAGCTGTCTATTGCCCATTGTCCCTGCACAGAAATACTGATTTCATTTTCTAATTATCAAGGAGGCCTGACTAGGAGAGACTTGCCACAAGGAACCCAGGGGCCTATTACGTGGGAAAAGGACATTTCAGCTTCTTATTCACAGCTTCGGGTCTTGCCAGTTCTGATAAATCATGTAATTCACTTTAAAGAGGGAAATGCACGATGTTCTCAGGTAATTTCGTTTTTGCAGTTTCTTTAATCCTCTTTCTCCTCTTTTTTCCTTCTTCTGCCATCTTCATGACCCAGATTAAGGAATCCAAGTGCTCCCATCTTGGCAACAAGATCCAGTCTGCAGTGACAGCTGTTAGAGAGGGCCCGTCCTCCCAGCCTCGCTCCTACTGGCAGGTAATAATGCTGAGTGTTACTAACACCAGCTTTTGGGGGAAAGTGAAATGGCAAGTGCAGGAGGGGGAGAAAATAACAAACAACACAATAAGAAAAATAAACTAAGGACAGAGCAAATGCAAAGGCAGAGAGAGGCAATACAGACAGAGAAAGGAAGGGCTGCATAAAGCATAGTGAACATTTGGGAAATTAAAGATAAGCATTTCTTTTTTAAAAATTAATATCAAGAATAATGATGCTTCTTTCTCACCCTGCTATAACATCTTACATGCGAACGTGTGCGCTTCGTGTTGGCTCACCGGAGTCTCTGCACAGGCACCAGGATGCAACCTAGAGTCAGCTAGAGTCCCTGTTACGAGTCAGCTCTCCAAAGCCCGCGGGTCAGGCAGCTCCCCACTGGCCTGGTCCTCAGGCCCTCAGAGCAGAAGACCAGGACAGGCTGTGAATTCAGGGGCAGTGAATTCCTTTTCCCTATCTTGGAAGCCGATGGACCCTAACTTTCCTGGGGCCTCCTGTGAACCATGTACTACTGTGTTTAAGTGGGTAAATGAGTAGAGCTGCCTTCTCTTTTCAACATCCATAATAAAAAACAATGGCTTTAGGCATTAATATTTGTGCTTCTTCATCTCCATTTAAGGTTTGGAGGCCAGGTGAAGTCATCCTACCTGTTTCCAGATCACTGACATCAATCCACGTTGCTAACTGCATAAATCATCAGCATCCACCATCATCCTCAACTCTAAATGAAAGGTACTGTGCAATGCTTTTTACATCTATTACCACATTTATTTCCTCAAAGCAGCCTCATAAGCTGTCTATTTTATATGTGAGAAAATGAAAACACAGGGAAGGTAAGTAACTTGCCCAAACAACAGATGAGCCATTTTTTTTTAAAGATACATTTTGAGTATAAAACCAAGAGGAGTGCTATGGTGGTAACACAAACACACATTAATTATTTGCAAAAGTGTAATGATCCTTGAAACTTTAAGAACCTTGTGGATTCCTAGTAGAAAGCCTTGGATGAAAAATTTAATATAAACCATCAATAATTTTAAAATATTATATAGTAAAGGGGCAGAAAGATGAACATCAACGAAACATAAAACAGCAACTAGCAGATAAATGCACTTCTCAGCCATGGTCACACTCGGGGGCAGGAGTCTGCCACAGTGAACCAGGTCTCTCCCAAGGGACTGGCGGCCAGAATGACTCCTCACGGCCCGGACAAACGCGCACATTCTGTTTTCATCTTGGGGCCCAAAGTAGTGCGGCTAAGCCTACTGCCACAGGCCAGACCAAAACACAGCCACAAGGTGGGGGTCTGTCCGCATAAAAGTTTTAAAAGCCCCAGTGAGAAACGATACGTACAGGGTTTTTCTTCTTTTTGTCTTTGTCCTTGCTTGGCTTCCGGTTGCTGACGAAATAATGCAGGGTGCCGTACTCCACCAAAGCAGAGAAGACAAAGATGAAGCAGACAGACACAAAGAGGTCCATGGCTGTGACATAGGACACCTTGGGAAGCGACTTGCGGGCAATGGTGCTGAGGGTAGTCATGGTGAGGACGGTGGTGATACCTGGAGAAAGGCAGCAGGAGACAGACCACGTGAGCACCGCAGCAGGCGGGCAGCTGCGTCCCGTGGTGGGCTCGGCCTCAGGCTTGGGAAGGGAGGCACAGCGAGTCCATTCTCTGTGTCCACAAGTAGGGCCCGCCTGCTGCCTGCCATGTGTCATCTGCTGTGGCCAGCACTGAGTGTGTGCTGAGAAATGAGGGACGTGGTCCCCGCCCAGATGTCCTGTATGTTTCAGTGACGGACATCACGCTCAAGTAAGCAAAGAAAAGTGTGGCTGCACGTGACGGAGCAGGGATGGTGAGAACCTAGTTGAACGGCAGACCTCTGTGAGGGGGTGGTATTTAAGGTAAAGCTTAAACATAAGTTAGCAGAAATCAACTCTTTGACTGTTAGCACTGAATAAAATCAAAGGGAGGTTCTGAGGAAGGGAACCCTTACTTGTTTTTTTTAATGTTTAGAATACCTGGCATCTGGGGATGGGCCAGAGAATCAAGGTGATGCTGAGGAAACAAGTTAAATCGTGCAGAGCATGCACAGGACTTTGCATTTTATTCAGAGTGCAAGGAGAGTCATAAGGGGTGAAATAGAAGATATATTCTGGTGGATAAACTCTTTAAAGATTATACAATGAAAAGGGTACCTCAGAATATAATATAATATTTACTGAAAACTTCCTCCGGCCAGGCACTCTGATAAGCACCCATGTGCATCTTCTCTTTGAATCTTTATAGCAGATATTTTCATTGTGATATTAGAGTAGAGGAAAAAGGCTAAAGGACCAGCTCCACGTCAGACAGTGAAGTGGCAGAAGGATTTGAATACAAAAATTACATGTTTGATTTCAAAAGGCTTCTATACATTGGGCACCAGTGCCCAAGCAAATTTGTCCTCTTCAATAATTGTTTAATAAAAGGGAACAAAGTTAAGAAAACCTACATGTATCAACTGGGGAAGCGTCAGGGGCGTGCCTTCTGTTAACAGCTGTGTTATTTGTAATAAAGGCAACACGGATTCAGTATTTGAATAGGTTGTAGCTCCAGCCCTAGGGACTTAAGTCACCCCAACAGTCTAGTTCCAGTTTCTGCGTCTTTTGGACCATCTCTTTGAAGGCCCATCCATTTCTTACCATGAGTGGATGCAACTTTCTGTGCTGCATAAGTGGCCTTCCCAAGCCTTGACCATTTGTAGTCTGTGACTTTCGTTTCTGGTGGAGGCAGGGGAGAGGGGAAATTTCCATCACCTAATGCTGGGCATTAATTCTGACTGTTCCTGGGACCAAGAGACCTCCAGGAGACAGTCAGCACCCCTGCCTCAAGGGGCAGTGCTGGGAAACGCCAAAGGAATCAGACCCAGGAGACTTGAGGAGCAAGGGGGGCGGAAGCAGCAGGGCAGAGGAGCTGTAGCACACAGCAAAAGAGAAATGAGACTGTCATTTCTCTAAGATGTGGGTTATTGGTATAGATTGCCTAAAAGGTAGCTGAGTGGAACCGAAACGCTCTTGAAGAAGAGTTAAGCAAAGATTAGCATTGACCTCTCTCTCCCTAATCTCTTGGGTTTTTTGCCAGAGCCATTTTTGAGGGGTTTACAGTATGTTTTCAAAAACAGCGTGGCTCTTGGGGGTTATTACATCCTAGCTTAATATCAAGTTTCGCAGTGTACTTGTGTCGTGAAATTCCAGAGAAGGGAAAGAGAAGTTTTGGTAGAAAGAACTCCACAGAACAAAATAGCTTTTAATAAAGACCCTCCTTAAGGGAACTGGTTATAAAGGCCATTACCCCTTTCCTAGTCCGCTGTGCGTGCTTATGGGGCAATCCATCTCCCTGTCCAGGCTGTACACTTTGTGACAATAGACACCTACTTTGCTGTGCACTGTAACCCCACAGTGAGGCTGGTGCTAGGACTCAATCAATGTCTGCTGGATGAGTAAATAAAACAGCCTAAGAATAGCGTGTATGTGAAAGATCAAGGGGACTCAACCTACACTTGAGAACAGAAATCCATATTGATGACTTGGGGGAGACAGATTTAACCGCACATAATGGTAGGTAACATTCAAGAATCTCCTCCTTTGGCAAGGTACTATGTCAAGCACTTACATAATTATTCTTTTTGTGCTCAGTTTTTTTTTCACCTGCAAAATAAGGTTAACAGTGCTTTTTCCTCATTATGAGGATTTTGTGGAATAAACTAGTCAGTGACAGAGATGAAATACAAGCCTAGGAAATCTCACTCTGTTTGTTGTTGGGGGGAGTTAATGAGGTTCGTTTACTTATTTACTTGGAGATACTGGGGATTGAACCCAGGATCCTGTGCATGCTGTGGCTGTGCTCTACCCCTGAGCTCTGCCCTCCCCCGAGAAGTCTGACGTTAAATGCAGTGCGGCGAAGCACACTGTTCCAGTTCCTGTCTGTGAAGTGGTCCGTCGTGTACAGGACGGAGCACCACCCACGTGGGAGCTACCGTAGATTCCTGACTCGAGGGACGGTGTGGGGCGCCGGGTCTTCCATGCTGTGACGGAAGCAGAGGAGCGGTCAAGATCTCAACGACAAAGTGCAGGCGGTGGTGACTGGGGGACAATTCACAGGGCTCCTGTGAAGATGAAATTAAATAATGCACGCAGTGGGGCCATTCCTAGTAAAGTCTCGATAGATGTAAGGTATCACTATCATTTAGTTTCGAGAAGATCTCAAACTAAAAGACGTTTCACTTAGGCTGTCTATGCATTAATTCCTGCAGAAGCTCTCGACTGCACCTGATCACAGCGGATTTTTCTGGGGGTGGATCTCGCACCTAAGCTGGAACTCTGACCTTTACGTTCAGGCCTCAGACCACACTTGACCTATGAGAAGTGAGGACGGCAGTATCCACAGAAGACACCACAGAGAAGTTCACTTAAGCAAATCTGGCATGTCTGACATGTGAGTTCAACATTGGGACGTTCATCACAGCCATGTAAAAAGAATCTTGAAATATTGCTTCAAGGTGGGAGGGTGTAGCTCAAGTGGCAGAGCATATGCTTAGCATGCAGGAGGTCCTGGGCTCAAGCCCCAGGACCTCTTCTGTAAATAAATAAACCTAGTTACCCTCCCCCGAAAAAAAATCTACCCCCCCCCAAAAAATAATGTCTTTAAAAAG